AAAATAAATAAAAAATAAAATATGAACATAGTTACAAACCTCACCACAAAACTTACAAGAGCTATCTGCACAAAACAGGGTGTACTTATTTTTGCTTTTACCTTTTCCTCTCTTGTTCTGCCCAGCTTTGCTCTGCAGAGCCTGTTGCTCCCTTACCTGTTTGCCCTTCACTTTTCAAGTAAACTCCAGCACAAGTGAGGGCCAGGGAGATAGCTCAGTGGCTTAAGTGCCTGTCTGGCAAGCACAAGGTCCTGAGTTTGATCCCTAACAGAAAAAAATAAATGAGCCAGGTATAGTGGCTCATGCCCATAATCCCAGCACTAAGAGGAGGCTGAGGCAGGAGAATGGCCTTGAGTTCAAGACCAGCCTGAATTACTCGGCAAGACCCTGTCTCAAAAAAATAAAAAAAAAAGGAAGGGGCTGGGGGGATGGCTCAGTAGAATACACTCTTGCCTGGCAAGTACAAGGGCCTGAGTTTAATCCTGGGTTCCGCCAAAAATAAAAAAGAAAAGTTAAAAAAAGGAACTTCATTGTGGGGAACTGGTGTACATACACATGTCATCTTGATTATTTGTGCTTCCCATCACCACCCCCCCAATTTTTCTTCTATCCCATTCTCAAATCCCCTTCCTATTTCCACACAGTCCGTCTTGTTTCCTATAACTAATCTTTTATTTTATCCTTTAAATAATTTATACTTTGGATTTTTCATATAAGAGAGACCATGCAATATTTAACTATCCTTGGGGCTAGGTAGATAGCACGGGTGGTTAAGGACCTGCCTGGCAAGTGCAAGGACCTGGGTTCTATCCCAGGTCCTGCATGCTGTGCTGGCCCCGCCTCGGCATGCTGAGCAGGTCTCCAAGACTGGGCGTGGTGGTACAAGCCTGTAATCCCAGTGTTGAGGAGGCTGAGACAGGAGGATCTCCATAAGTCTGAGGTGCATAGTGAGACCCTGTACCAAAATAAAATAAAATAAGTAAAAATTTAAAAATTATCCATGTATGATATATTTCACTTAGCATTATAGGCTCAAGGTGCATCCATTTTTCTACAGGTGACTCAAATTTATCCTTTTTTATAGCTAAGTAGTTCTCCATTGTGTATAATTACATTTTCTTTATCCATTTATCTGTTGATCGACATAGGCTGCTTCCAAGATTTAGCTGTTACTAATTGTGCTGCTATAAAGTTACTGTATGTGTGTATTAATGTGGTAGGATGCCTTTAACCTTTGTGGAAAATACAAAGAGGTATAGCTGGGTCAAATGAGATTTCCTAGGGGCCAGGGAGATGGCTCAGTGGAATAAGCACTTCCCTGGGAAGCGCAAGGGCCTGAGTTCAATCCCTGGTTCTGCAGATAAATAAATAA